AAAAATGTGTCCTTACTTTTAGTTAGGGCTGGCAGAAAATTATATTGCTGCATTACATGCCAGATGTCAGCATTATGTCTTTTACAAACAACTCTTGAAAGGAATTGTGAAGAGTTGCTCTGTTTCGAAAACAAAGTGGACATTACAGCACCTGGTGTGCACAAGATACTATCTGGAATAGTTGAGAAAGTTAAATGTATTTATTTTTAGTGCAATGTACCTTCATGGGCCCCATAGCTTTCATTGTTTTGTCCATGAGATGAGGTCATAAGTAAATTTATTTTAAATCTGAATTTGCTTTTGGTAAAATTGAGAGTTTTAGAAGTAGTCTGTGAACCTGTGATCAATTCGCTAAACAATATCGTAAACTTTGCATGGGACTGCTTCCATTGCACTGTGAAATCACATGCTGAGTCCAATTTTCTTAGAGCACCTGCTCCAAAGATTGAAATGATCACAGGAGTTGAAAATCCGCCCCACTATTTTTAGCCAGATATTTGCCTGGATTGCAATTATCACTTACAGCCCACAAAGCTGTTGATTGTGTGGGACTGACTATTTAACTATTCAAAGCCTTTTCTCTAAAAGAGTTGCTTGTTTCACGTGATTTAGCACAAACAGAGCTCTTCATGTTTTTAGTAACCCCAACACACAAATACACTGTTTACTAATGGGTTAGTAAACCCATTAGTCAGACATTCCCGCTGAATGTCACAGTAAATGTCAAACATTGTATTTCATGTTATTTTTAACACTGTATACAAACTGGATATATAAAACACTTATTCAAGCTGCCCTTTGAGAAGGGGAGGAGCTGAAGGTGTTACACATCTAAGGTTTTTTAGGTTTTTGGTTACATTTTTTAAAAATATATTCCTTTCTATTAAGCAGTACAGTTCTGCTTAATAGTTTGGTTTCTTACATTTTCCTCTATTCTATTCCTCCATGTTTTTTATTTTAATTGTCTCATATCTTTGTCTTCCTCTAAGTTTTTTTTTCTGCCAGAGTTTAGCTCATTAGTGTTAATTAGCCTTCTTCCTTATCCTTTTTTGTTCACCTTCTGCCTCTGCTGCTCCTTGTTGCTTCTGATCATCACAGTTGCTGTCATTGTCAACCTCCTCACTTCCCTTAATATTAAAATTCACTGCAATAGGTCCCAGCTGAATCTTCAGTTTTATACTCATGTCCAATTACTCTCTTGACTTTCTGTGAGTTGTATTTTTCTATTTTTATTAAATCCTCCTAAACCTAAGGTTTACTTGTTGAACGTACTCTGTTGCAAAAACTTTACATCCCCTTATAGTTCAGGAGTTACGAAATATGCAATGAAGCTCTCCTCTCGGGGAAGATGTGTTCCCTAACATATCATAAGCCTATACTCTATTTTGCCCACTGCACCAGTTTCCTCAAACATCCAATTCTAAATGCAAACGCATTAATGCAGAATTTCCCGACCCTTTTTAACATTTGTAAGAAGGTTTTGCACAACGCTTAGTTGTGTATGTCTTGAAATTTCTCCCAATTCTTACACCAAAACAACTATGAGCTCAGGAAATTATTCTAAATGGGAAAGCATGGCTCACAATTTTTGCAACAATTCACTCCAAGGATGTTCAGTTCTCTGCCAAAATACTTTTTAAGGTTCTCTTTGTGGAATTTAGCCCTCCAGGCTCTCAGGTAGTTCTTAAAATAAGACCTCAAGCATAAAGAGTTTTATTATTTTAACGGTGGCCCAGCATTCCTGACAACAAGAGGTCAGCTAAAACTTTTGTTGTTTTTAAAAGCAAACTGATAATGCAGCTATTCAATTAGTTAATTGGAATTTATAGCTTTTACTATTTTACCTAAACTGTAGCAATGAGGACTTTTTTTACTCATAGTGTATTTTTTTATTACTGTTTATGTTATTGATAACTATGGCAAGTACAGATGCATGGGTATTACCTGTTCCATATTTGATCAAGGTTTATTTCTAATACGGTCTTTACTGTTTTTATTGTTTTAATCTTTTATTTTTGCCATATACAATACATATGTATCTCCGGCTGTCTTTGTTAATTTTATCTGCACAAATAGGATTCCAAAAGTTTTAATTTTCTGTATCTGATTAATTTCCACCTGGAGAGAGTCACACAGAGAAAAGCTGCAATTAGAAAAGTATTCAATTTATTTATACAGGTAAAAAAATCATATTCTCCAAAATATTTTTATCTAAGGAAAACCAGCTGATTGTGAGGACTCATTGACTCTCTGTTATGACTCACACTGAACATGCACGTAGTGACAGTGGAGAGGAAAACTTCCTTTTGAGAGGAAGAAACCTCCAGCAGAACCAGGCTCAGTGCCGAGGCTGATTGGGGTTCAAGGAGACAAAGGCAGATGAAGACATAAACTAAAAAAGTTCTTTGGTGCTCGTGCCCTGGCAGAAGACTTCAATGTTGAGAATCAACGTTTGTTTGGATGAGTAACCTAGAAAACAATTAGCCTTCCCCCCAGGGCCCAGACACTGGTGGTGGAATAAGCCAGAGGGTGAGTGGGACTGAGAGTAGTTTGAGAATGAGGGAGGAGTTGGGATGGAGGTGGGTGAAAGTTCACTTCTGTGCAGAAGAGAGAAGCTGGGCCAGGAGCTAAATGAAGGAATCATCTTAAAAGATGATTGGCTTTTGAAACGGTGCAGCCCCAAGTTGATTAGCTGGAGTTGAACGAGGGACAACGCAGGTGGTTCAGGTAAAAGCTGATAAGAGTCTTCCGGATAAAAATTTTCTCTCAAGCTTCATTTCTCTTACATGTAATTCCTTATTATTATTCAATGCAAGCAATAACATGTTTTAACTGTTAAGTTAAATTAATTGTTTGATTGTGTCTGGTGCTAAAATGCCTGTTTTTAACCTTAGTAAAGCACCTTGTGTTATTTTATGTAATACATTCTAAATAAAGGCTGACTGATACATTTTATTAAGGACCTTGCTTTGTGCATAGGTCTTGTTGTAACCCATGAAAAGGATATAAATAGAAATAGAACTTTATTGATCTTACAATGGAGAAATTAACTCTCTGCATTTAACCCATCCCCTTGGGGAGCTGTGGGCTGCCACTGTGCAGCACCTGGGGAGCAGTTTGGGGTTAAGGGTCTTGCTTAGGGACCCGGAGTGCAGGCTGTGGGGATCAAACCGGATAATAGCAGCACTCTCTCTATTCTTTCTACTTGCAACATTCTCAGAGCACAAGCAGACTCCTCTAACCACTAGGCCAACACTCCCTAAAGGGGCCAAAGTAAATTTGTTTCCCAGGAGTTGGGAGTATTAAATGTGTTCAACATGTTTTAAACTTCAACCTTAAGAGCTGATTTACTAACACTATCGGAAGCAAACAAAAGGCTAAAACCATAATCCTACCCTTAACTAACTTTATATAAATGCAGTTCAGAAGTCAGGCAGGAGTTCTTCCTCCAACCGGTGGAGGAACTCCAGCTCTGTTTGCCTCAGCCTAAGGGAAGACACTTCACCTGCATTACCTATTGATGGTGGTCCAAGGACACGGTGGAGCCTGCGTACAATAGCCTTTCTTTTGTCAGTGTGCCCCTGGGCAGCTCTGGCTACTATGTGGTTTGCCACCATCAATGTATGAATGTGCGCCATTTGCCAAGCAACAATTGAATGCAGATTCTTTCATTGTATATCAGATGGGGGTGTGATTTTTCTGATTAGAGAACGCATAAATGGGATGATTCTAATATTAAACTTAAAAAAAAAAAGTTTTGAAAGGATTAATGGTGGCCTTTCTTAAAATTCTCTTTTACCAGAGATATTAATCCCTTTAGTGAGAACACTTTCCTTCTCAATCTATTGTACATAGCTGATTATTCCATTTATAAATTAGCCATCATAATGAGAAAATGCTGATAGTCTCATTAGACATTACATTTTCTATCAGGAGCTGAACAGAAGCAAAAAGAAACAGAAATCCAGGTTCTTAGAATATATTTTCCTCCCCAAAGGGAGCAATGTGAGAGTATACGAAGTGTCAGATTACTGCTAGACGGCCTAGACAGCAATTACATTTTTTTATTGCTTAGAAAGTAGGGTTTGTAAGAGAGTAGATAGAGTATGGATAATTTACATAGATTCTTCCCTGGCAGCCTTATAACCAATCCATTAGCAAAAACATACATTTAATCAAAAGACTGACGTTTACTCTGAAATGCATTCACTTGCCTCCTTCATTCAGTATGCAGAGTATTTCCAGTCAGCTCCACTAGGCAGTGCAGTTTGGAATTCATGTTTCATTTGATGCATCTTCTGTGGAAATGGAAGTGGTGAGCTGTTTCCTTTAAAAAGCAATGTTCAGCTGTGGACACTTGCTGGCTGTGTTGTCTGGGGACTGTAATGAGAGGGAACGGTGGAGGGAAAATGGGAGGTAGCATTGAGACCACTAGGAAGATGCCAGGGGATTTATGCCTAATAGCAGACATTAAAATGGGGGTTTATGCTCCAAGCTCCAAGAATATGCACAGCATGTTCTGTTTCTGCAATGTGTTTCTTTTTTTTCTTTAAATAGTGTATAAATGTTAACAATAATATTCTACACGACCCTCTAAATCTTTTAAGAACCTGCATCTTTTAACAACCACAAACAGCCAGGGAGTTTAAGGGATTTAATTTGAAAGATCATCCCAAAGCAGTGCACTATTTTGTTGTCTATTGATAATAGCAGCTAATCTTAAAAGTGGTTTACAAAAAACAAAAAAAAACTGCAAATTGTACCATGAGTTTATATTTTGCCTTGTTTTCAAGGCCAAACTTAGAAAAAAATCCAGTGCCAATAGAGATGTGTTAATATAATCTCCATTATAATCCAGACTTGGATGGCCTCAAAGTGACATAGTAGACAGGTCAGCGACAAAGTAAAGGAGAGCCATAAAGGCAAGGCAAGGCAAGGCAAGGCTGTCATGTTGGGTCTCTAGTGTATAAACCCACATGCAGAACACCACAGAAATGGGGTAAAAGTTTAACAGTTTATTAAAGGATGAGCACACAGAATAACAAGAGCTGGTTCTGGTACAGGTCCGGGACAGCAATCACTGAGAATCTGCAGAGATGGATTGTTTGGTTAGCCAGGCAGCGGAGAAGACTTGATTGATGTTTGATTCAGATTTGTACCTTGATGAGGTTCAGACAGATCACTGGAGAGGGGGAACCAATTGGGTCCAGAGACAGTGGGTTCAGCAGAGAGCTCAGCAGCAGCAGCGTCTAGCTTCAGGCTAGAGAGTTTCAGACCTTGAATTGTCGTCCTAATTCTCCCTTGAGAGCTGGCTGGGGAATCCAGACTGATTGTCTTCAGGTTTGGCTTCCTAGGGCAGGTTTCCAAGCTAGTTCCTCCAGAGCTACAGACTTCAGTCAGACTTTCCTGTGAGCAGAGAAGACAGAGGCTGGTTAGAATCTAGTTACTCTCAAGAGCAGACTGAGATTCTCAACGTGAAACAGAGGCTCAGGTTCCGCTAACCAAAACTGGTCAACACTCCAGCGAAGAAGACAGGTCTGGCTGCTGCTTATGTAGGAGGTCTCCTGATGGGCTGATGATCCTCAGGTGTGCTGGAGGCTCCAGCCCAGGAGACCCAAAGCGCTCTCTGCTGGAGACAGGTGGCAGATCTCCAGATCCCAACAAAGGCAATTTTATTTGTATAGCACAATTCAGTACAAAGACAATGCAAAGTGCTTTACATGATTAAAATATAGGAAAATAAAACAGAATCAAAGCAAGTAGGAAAACATAAATAAATAAGAAATGCATAAACAAAAAAAGAACATTAAAAACAGTTGGACTAAAGAAAATAAAAAAGTTGAACTAATGATGTTTCAGAAAATAAAAACGTTGAACTAATGATTTTTCAGAAAATAAAAAATATGAAATAATGATGTTTCAAATAAAGGAGTCTAGGTTACAGAGAAACCTGAACATCTCCCAGACCACTGTTCACTCCATCATCAAAAATGATGGAAATCCTACCAAGAAATGGACATCCACCCAATCTGAAAGCGTTAGGTGGATGAAGGTAACTCTGGAGGAGCAGGAGAGATTCACAGCTCAGGGAGGTGAATCTATTCAGTTCAATTCAATTTGAGTTCATTTATATCGTGTCAATTCAAAACACGTCATCTTAAAGGGGAACATCGTTTCTTTTTTTTACATTAGCCCCTTGATTTTATGTTATTACATCATGTTCTACTCACCCATATTAGTTTTGTGTCATTTGGAGCTGTTCTGAAGATATTCGGTTTTGTTATATCCAGGTAAAGTCTTCCTATGGGAAGACTTTAGCACAAACTGAACTGTTCATAATTTATTCTTTATGGTACGCCAGCATACATAACATGTAGGCGAATCACTGTCCCCCAGACATCCGTGATTATTTTGTTTTATATTTATATATTTTTTAAACAAAGCGGAGTAGAAAACGTAGACTAACATGATTTTCTCGTTGAGGATTTTTTTTCACTGCCTTGATGGAGTAATAGTTGGGAAACAGGAGAAAAACCACAAAGACCTATGATTGACCACAAGTTACATCTTCCAAGAATAACTGGCTAATAATGGGACTCAGCGGGAAAGGAACACACTTCCTTCTCACTCATGGGGCCATATAGGATGCAAAAACCTGCAGACAAGCATCATGGGAATAAGTGCACTCCCATTAAGTGCTACAGACAATATAATTTGCCCAGTCACCTATTGTTTTTAGAGGAAAAAAGGAAAGCAATAATGTCTCATTTTCATTTCTTACAAAGCAGGTAGTTGTATACTAGATTATTTTGATAGGTCAAGCCAAAACAATTAGCACACACACCCATTCAATACGTAGTGACAGGATTATGTTGAAATCATTTTGTTTTTGTTTCAACATCTTGAAATTGAAATACAATTTAATATGCATCTGTTCAGCACGAAAACATACATCTAGCTATTAATGTGACCAAAAAACAGTAACACAAAGGAAGGAGAATTAATATTTAATGTCTTAGAGTGTACATGGAAGACGCTGGTCTTGCAAGATGAGACTAGGCTGAATATTTTAAATTTAATGCTATAGAAAATACTCTGAAAGACATTCTCCCCCTGTAATGCATAATAGTGGCAGCATCCTGGAAATATACCTGTGTGTCACAAAATGAATGAGTTTGCTTCTGTTCTTCCTTGAGGATTTTGACTTCTGAGGTACTTTTTGTATTATTATGTTTATTGATGTTGTTTTGATCTATTTTTGTCTTTCCTTGTTGTTTACAATACGGTTTCATTTGCATGGAGTTTGCATTCCAAAATTTCTGTGTTCCCTGATTTACATATTACTTTAATCCAGATCAACCCAGTAGCTGATGAACCTTTGGACTCAATCCCTCCTTCATCAGACTGTCTTTTTGCCCTATCTCTGCCTGTATTTGTTTGGTTCTATTTGTACTTCCAATTTTTTGTTGATATTATTTTTCTCTGTTTTTTTTAGTTAAATTCAGCACTACCCGACACAGTAACTGGTGGAAAAAGACTTTAGACGAGCGAGGAAGGCTTTATCCATCAGAAAAACATCCCCTAACCAACAGTTACAGCTAAATTGCCATGTCACATAGTGTAACCAGTTTCCAGATCAAAATATAATTAATAATCTTTGGCAAGTTTTACAAAACTGACATTCCCAGACCTTCAACATCTAATCTAACTGAGCTTGAACACGATAGGAAAGAAAAAAAAAATACTGTCCAGGTCTACGTATATCATAGAAAGAGACGTGTGGCTCTACAAAGTCCTGAATAATAATAATTTTCCGATCCATCTGTGAGTCATCCTTACTGAAACTAAATGATATCTCTGGGTCCGATGGGACATCTGCCGCATCCGATGCAGGTCCAGCAGATTCTGAAACAGCTTCTTCCCCACCGTCATCAGACTGCTGAACTGTTGAAAAAACTGTGAAATATGTCGCAGACTTTGCATCACACTGATAACACAAAACCAAAAATACTGCATATTTGCACCATATATATCTAATGCTCTGAATGTCCATATCAATGTGTTTGTTTTATGACACTATGTTTTTTCTCCCCCACTGTTCACATTTGATCACTGCTGCACTTTATGGAATGGAAATGTTAATTTACTGTCTGGTAAGCTGTACTAAACAAAATTGCGTTTTGAATACACTGTGCATACAAGATGACAAGTCTAAGTCTGTCCAAAAACAAGCCACAATTTTGCAATCACAAATTTTAGTCACTTTAATCAATATTTTAGTTAACAATGTGGCAATGGTGGGGTAGTTACCGAGGTCTAAATACTTTTACAAAAGCTAATTTAAGTGCTTATTCAGAAATTATGGATCTCTCAAGGTATTGGCTCTGATCAGCTTATTTTAATCAGTTTGATCACATGTAAACAACATATCATCTTACGGTGTATATGGGATGTATTTATTTATTACTCAAAGAGCTTTACATCATTCACTGTTACACAGATCAGTACCATCCTTTTGATGGGAGCTGAAACCAAACCGACAACTTTTAGATTGACTAGTCTTCCCACTGAGCCACAGTCATCTCTGATTTAAAATGCAATATGTTGCTTGTTTTACTCCTCATATATCTGAAAGCATGATGATGCTCAAAGCTCATAAGTGGAATTTCATTTCTGCCATAGAGCTTTTTAAATCACTTCAGATCTTTCGTTAGAAATGAAAAACACTTAAGTTAAGCACATGCTTGGTTGCAGATATCTACTGTGTCTGTGTAAAGACCGGAGGGTTTAATGAAAACAGGAGTTATCTAATAAGTGTATGCAGTGTTATATAGAGTAGGCAGCATACGTTATGCTCCAATACAAGACATATTTTTGTGTGGGGATTTTTTTATTTTACAGCTTATCTTCATGATGAGTAATCTGTGGATCAGATACAGCTTTTTAACCACACTCCTCAGACGGCTCTCACTATATTACTTTAAAAAAAACAACAACAACACACACATACAAAAACAGGCTACTTTCAACAAAGTGTACCACATTAATCCATCTAATATTGGTTAATTTGTATAAAAACAGCCCAGGGCTTTTTTGACCTAAAGATGAAATAAGCACCCAGAACGATAAAGGAATGAATATCACTGCTGGATGTAACTGCTGTTCTGTTATACAGTCACCCCCTCCTGTTTTTCCTCATCTTTGCAGAACATTGTGTTCAAAGCGTGAGGGGCTGATCAATTACTTATTTCACTGCTCATTTGTCTATTATAAATACCATGTTTGTCACTGAGAACTATGATACCCAGAAAACTTTTCTGATCCATCTATGAGTCATCCTGACTGAAACTTAATGATATCTTTGGGTCCGATGGGACATCTGTTTGTAAATCTGTGATAGACTGCTGGGATCACATGGGTTACCAACATCAGGTGAGGTGAGACTGACTCACTGATCCCAAAGGAGGCCACTGTGGGAAGTGTACTGTGAAATGGGGGAGCTATGGCAAATTCACCTCATCTTGTTGAATCCCATAATGCTCAAAAATAAAATTGAGATAAACGCCCCGACTTCCCCTGCCACCTCCACCCCTAAAAAAATGCTCAGATAGAGGAATCGCTTGACGGCATAGCGACTGCTTCTGCATCACACTAGGATGCATACACACATCTGGCAACACCAATTAGACATGCAACGGTGACCACTCAGGGCCACGAGAGGACAGAACATTTTGTTTTGAAGTTCTGATGCCAGACTAAAATTGATGCTCTGAATATAAATAAGTTAATTTGGTAAGAATTAAATATGTAGAAATTATTCACAATAAATTTACATTTGGAATCACTTGTACTGAACTGGCTGTTTTTTTAAGTTGCTTTTTGCAAATTGTCACTGACATTTTTGGTAAACAAAAATATCTGTGTGAATGCTCATACTGTCAATTACATATCACCAGGATATCCTGCAACAATGGGCCATATTCCATGTTTTTTTCCATCATCATTACATACATTTATAATTGTCTCCTGTTCTTCCATTATCATTAACCACTTTGCACTTTTAATCCATTTAACTTGTTCTTAAAACGCCATTGTCTTTCACTCATTTTCTCAAGCACCTTAATTATATTTGTTGTACCTCCTATTTACAGCTGTGGTTACAATTGTACAGTATATACACTCATACGTAGCCTGAATTATTGGAATCTTTTTTGGTGAAAAGATTATGCAGCAAACTACATCAGTGATTTCTTTCAACAAGAGTCATATCCATC